AAAAAAAAATCCAATGACCTCATCACGACTTGAACCTGCGACCTTCCGGCCTGTAGCATAGTGCCTCAACTAACTACGGTACAAGTGTTTCAATAATATAAAAGAGACTGCATGGACTCTAATTTGATTGACATATATGCTGAGTCGTGAACAACAATAACCATTGGGCCTATGCGATGAAATGTACGAAAATGAGTTTTCCATATACACAGAAACCCAGTGGCTGCCACGCAGCCCGTATTTTCCCGTCACTTATAAATCGTTGTAAGTAATACGGAGATATATAGATAAGACCGCCAGATGGTAGGGACATTTACATATGTTTAATTTGGAATAGCAATCTTAACATTTAAAGTTCTCGCGTGCAAATTCAATAAAATATTGATTTTTTTTACACACTGGTGGATCAGTGGAAGTCTGTCTGTCAGTCTGTCGAAACAAACTTGAGATGGAAATTTTTTATTTCGAAGGCTCCAACTTTTCTTTTTGTGGAGTTCAGAGTACTGAGAACATGAAGCCACGCGTTAATATACTGGAAACTGACACAGAGCCCGTGGGAGTAAACCGAGTGCACAGTGGTAATGACGCAATAATAGCTATCAGTGAAATTTATTGAAGTGTGCCTCCGTGTTTATTCTGTCTGGGGAGGCGAAATCACCGACTCTTATTGCAGCTGGTCTAGTTTTGACCAAAGCGACATGTCTCCATTGTGTGTTTTGTGGTGGCATAGACAAGAGGAAAGAGAGGTCATGTGATTTGGACGAAGTTTGCTTTTAACGACGACCATTTCCGAAAAGATCTCCTCTAGATAACAACACCGCTTAGTGCGTATTATTATTGTTGTTGTTGTTTTTCCAAATGCAGTATCACACTAAACATGTAGCTATCTTTTCAGAACTTATCAAGATATTGTGGTTAGGGTCTATCCTAGTTTGAAATATGTTATTATACACTGTCTAATGAACTTACTTTACCGTAATACAAGTTGATAACTGCACATCCTACAAGAGCAAATATACCCAGTTCGAATCCTCCCCGCGGACCAGCTTCCCGATCAATATTTTTCGTACATTTCTCCCTCCAGTAAAGTACCCGAATGCTACCCTCCAGTTGGCCATGTTCTCTTCTCCCATCCACCCCATCATAACCTTATATAAGTAAGTAAAGGTATCCCTGTAACAGGCCGTGGAGGCCCATAGTGTTGTCAGATGTTGAGGTTCCCATATTTTCTAGACAATCGGCTCATAGATGGCGGCAAGGTTGTCGGCCTTACGCACCGGCCGCCCTTTACCCCCAAGAACATTCAAAGAATATTCCTGATACTCATTTCTACTAGAGGTTGAGTCGACCCCAGGACCATAGTGCTGTTGGAAGGATTAGGTCAATTGAAAAAATCCACCTCATGTAGACTCGAACCTGCGACCATCCGGCTTCTAGCATAGTTCCTCAACTGGGTCGACTCGGAACGGCGGCCACTGACTGACCTATTTTAGCCTGCCCTGGGTGATTATGATGATGGAGAATTTGGTGGAATGAAGATTGGCAGGGGAAACCGAAGTACTCGGAGAAAACAGGACCCAGCGCCACTTTGTACACCACACATCCCACTTGACCAGATCCGGGATCGAACCCGGGCCGCCGCGGTGGGAAGCCAGCTACTAACCGCTTGAGCTATGGCGCGACCCTAACCTCAGAAGTTGATTCAGCGTGGTCAAATGGCGGAATTACCTAATTCCGAGGTAGTTCCAGCCTATATTCAGAACGGTCTATGCCTTGCAGGCGGTGTACACACTGCTGGGAGAGGCACATTCGCGGCTGCAGCAACATGAGGAGGCGGAACGCTGGTACCAGGCGGCCCTCCAAGCGGAGCCGGGACACGTGCCAGCGCACCTTACGTACGGGAGCATGCTGGCCAGGAACGTAAGTGCTTCTTTGTCAACACACAGCAGGCGGCAAGTTCTGGTGTCGTGCTAATTCATCTTGTTTAGTTTACTTCGAACCTGTCTGGGTACGTATCCCTCGATCCCTGCATGGAAGTGCTCGTTTTCATACCTTAACACACGCAACCGTGGCTTCATTCTATAGATTTCCCTCCATGTTAATCCCAATCAAATGCCGCCTAAACAACACACATAACGTCCTTACTGAATGGATCATAAACTGTGGCTTTATACTAAGTTACTTATTAAAATTAAAGTTTTAAAGACTGTTTTTAAGCCTTCCTTTTATGTGGAATCTATACGGGGGAAATTTCCTGAGTGCAATGGACGTTTTCACATTTTCTGTACCTGCTGTTACTTTAAATAAAAAAATCCTAGCTTCATTCCAACTTTCTTCGTCGGTCCAGTTCTGACTTCTCTATAGGCGATCCTCTCCGACACTGTGCTTATATTCGCCAAGTCGAAGTGTAGGCAGTCTACTTTTCCACCAACGCAGTTCTTGCAGGCATCCAAAGGCAACTGCACGGGGGCACTGGTTGAAACCCAACACACTCTGCTACAGTCCAGAGACTGTGAACACTTGCCCAAAAAATTTTACAGTTGAAGCTGAGAGGAAAGCACTGGAACTCCTTGCCAAATATAAAACTCTTCTCCCTACTAACCTAAAACGCAAGCTGACTTCATTGTCATTAAACCTCCACATTTGTATGATCTTCTTAAGATTCACAAACTGGACATTCCTTTGAGAACTCTAATGAGCACGATTGGTTGCCCAGGTCACAAACTGGCTGTATTCCTTCATAAAATACTAAATCCTCTCGCAAGTAAATCAGAGTCTGACAACTGAATACAGTTATAAAAATCTGTAAATTTTCATGGCCTTGATATTCTTGTCATTTTACGTGTTGTTAATCTTTCACTAACGTGCCACATGGGCCGCGCCATAGCTCAAACTGTTAGTCGCTGGCTTCCCACCTCGGCGGCCCGGGTTCGATCCCGGGTCTGGTCAAGTGGAATTTGTGGTGGACAAAGTTGCGCTGGGGCAGGTTTTCTCCGAGTACTTCGGTTTCCCTTGCAAATCTTCATTCCACCAATTGCTCCACAATCACCCTCACCTATCATCTGAGGCTGGTACAATATGCCAGAAGTGGCCGCAGTGCAAGGGACTTAGTCCCACGCCACCAGCAAAAAAAAAAAGTGCCAGATGATAAAGCTCTACAAGTCATGAGAAATACGCTGCATAACGCCAACACGTTGGCGAAGCGGTGTCCAGCTTGTAGGTAAGAAGAAGCCAAAATATAGCTGGGAGTTTATCTCATAATCACTCACTTTCAGGTGAGATGGCGTTGCTGTGGGAAACTGTTGTCAGTCGTTTGCAGCACCTTCACAGGCCATTTTGTGAAACTGGCTCTTGACAGGGCGCTTCACACACTATTTCTGTCGCTTCCGTATATAGAAAATCTTGTGAAGATGGCATAAAGTCAGGGTTTTTGAAAATGAAAGTAACAATAGGTAGGCCTATAAAAAATATGAGGAATCGGCCCATATGACAAGCTCAAAACTTCTGAACAGCCAGCCCAATTCGTAGGCTTCCCGCATGTGAATTTCACTTATCGTGAAGGATGTTAGAGGTTTACAGGAAGTTCGGTAGGATCTGTCACACCCTCCATGAGAATTTTCAGGGCTTCATTTTTGTTCCACACACGGTGCTACCTGTAGGCGGGTGCTCCACAGTGTGAACTCTTCATTTTTTCCTGCGCTGGTTCGGTTAGATGCATTTTTTCACATTTTTTAGTCTTAGTTCTTCCTCATAGGCATTTCTGTAATTCGTATTGTGAATTTCCCGGCTATCTCCCTCTGTTAAATCCTAATACCCGGTGCACATACTGATGTAGGTATAAATTCCTTCTAATGTACCCCACCCTCTCATCTGAACACGGAAAAACACACAATTTTCGAAATTATGTGTTCTTTAAAGAAAGCAGTCTTCTGGGATTTGGCACCGTGTATATGTGGTGTTAACCGACGTTTCGGAGGAACGTATCGCCCCCATCTTCAGGGTAGAAGAAAAAGTATAAGAAATCTGCAAGCGACAACACCGTGAGAAACGGTAAAGCAGACTGTGGAAATATTCCTAGAGAGCTTTCTTCATAGTCACCGCCGTGAAAGCCTCAAATCTTACATATGTGTTCTTTAGATTAATAGAGACAGAGGAAAGTCCACAAGTTCAGTAATCCCAAGTTCTGAATTGCTGTTTTGCTTTCCTCTTTTTTTGGATTGGGAGACAAAATATCATACCTGTGATATTGGATTTGAGTTACTCGCAGCAATGGCTATGAAGAGTTGCACATCCTGGGATATAATGTCGTGTAGTAAGCTGAATGTTCACCGATATTTTGGAGGAAAATATAGCCTCCATCATCAAGGTTGAAAGAGAAACTAAGCAGAAACCGGAATGCAACAGGTAGCAGCTACTTTCAGCATGCTGGATTCGTAGCTCGGTTAGTTTGTCTTGACTTTCAGCACACTACACAGCGCTGTATCCCAGAAGACTTACTTAATTACTTACTTACTCATGGAGCTGAGCCCTTCTGGAGGAGCCGCCAATTCTGCAGCTACTCAAGAATTTCCCAGCATTTTATGGAACCAGAAGGTTCATTACCGTGTTCACAAGGGCCCTCCACTGGTCCCTATCCTGAGCCAGATCTATCCAATCCATACCATCCCATCCTATCTCTCTGAGATCCAGTCTAATATTGTCCGCCCACCCACGCCTTGGTCTTCCCAGTGGTCTCTTTCCTGCTGGCTTTCCCACCAATATCCTATACGCATTCCTCGCCTCCCCTATTCGTGCTACATGACCTGCCCAACTCATCCTCCTTGACTTGATCATTCTAATTATACTTGGAGAAGAGTACAAGTTATAAAGCTCCTCATTATGCAGTTTCCTCCAACCTCCTGTCACTTCATCCCTCTTCGGTCCAAATATTCTCCTCAACACCCTGTTCTCAAACACCCTCAGTCTATGTTCCTCCCTTAATATCAAGACAAACTTTCACACCTATACAGAACCACAGGCAAAATTATAGTACAGTACTCTTAATTGGTTGTCATATTTCCGTGTAATATTTGAGTGATGTTGAATGTTAAAGACATCTGAAAACAAATGTAGGAATGTATGCAGACATCTCACCCTTCGGCTTTGTCAGTGCACTGATATGACATGTGTTGTGTGTGCAGAAGAGCCGGGCACTCGAAGCCGAGCAGTGGTTCCAGAGGGCCACCGAACTGGCGCCAAACGACCCGACAGTCTTCAAGCATTTCGGTAAGATACAGCACTTATACGAGCATACACCATATTGTGATTTACTGTATACACGCATCATCCTGGAAACCAGTGTCATGCAAACGTTTGCATGGGAGGAGACTGTGTCATTGAATGAGTGCAAGAACCAGGAATATATTTTAACATGCGTTCTTCGTAATTCAGCGTACGATATTGGTAATATTGTCCATTAGTACTATTGAGTACTTCACACAGAACCAGTCACTTCAGGCCCACTCACACTACAAGCATACTTCACAGCGTAAAAATTGTGCCATTCTATTTTACTATGTACTTATTCAACGTGACACAAAGTGTTTCAAATAAACGCTGCAGGTAGTGTGATCAATATCATACACTCTTCAGACTCACTAAGTTTCTGTGAATTATCTTCACTGTTTGAATCCTGTTGTGTATTATTAAGAGGGTTTAATGTGTCTGTCAACACAACGCTTTGTAAGTAAATAAGACTAATATTAACGCGTTAATATTGTTTTATTTTCTACATCACTACAGGTTTCCGTCGGTGTAATTATCATCAGGTGGTTGTAAATATAAACATATCATTTAAAACTACCAACACACTACAGTCGTGTTACAAGGGACAGTTAAATGTATCTTTCTTATCGTTTTACGTTTTCACGTTCTGTTCGGAACTCTGTTACCAACTGGAGGTACTCGAAACACTGCCGCCTTCACTGAAGCAAGGTCACATTCAACACTTTCTGTCAACTTACATCAGTTAGTTTACTCGCGTTTCATTCTTCAGTTGCTTACAGTTTAGAAGATGCTCAAACTGTAATAAATTTGCACATTTTGAAGGGTTGAGGTTGCAGGACCTCTCCCTCAAAGTTGGCAAAAACAGGAAAGTTTGTTTCATATTTTCTCCTCTCCACAGCGTCCAGACCGGCCCTGGGGCCCACCCAAACTCCTATCCAATGGGTAACGAGGGCTCTTTCGCCAGGGATAAAGTGGCCGGGTCGTGAAGCTAACCACGCACCTGCAACTAGTGCCAGGGACAAGAAAACGTGGATCTATCCATTCCCCTATACGCCTTCATGGCGTAGTGCTTAATTAGTTACCCCCTAGAATAAGGACAAAGTTACCTTTTACGCTGTGGAAAACTGGATGACGTTTTAAGTCACCATAGCCACCATGAGACCCGAAACGTCCCCCCAAAATACTTTTGTGTTTTTTTCCCCAAATTCCAAGTTGGTACTCGTCACTTTCAATAAAGAGCGAAACCCACATTTTCTGTAAGATCTCTCGCAAGAGGAACTACTCGTGAACTAATTCTGGTTCTGGGGTAGCTCTCACGTCGATTCCGCCTTCACACGGAATTACTACTCTGTCCCCGCTACAGACTCTCGCCCGACTTCTCCGTTATTCTGGCAGCACATTATTCGGCACGGACCCCATAGAAAACACCCTCCTCTGTTGTACTAAAACGCAATTGCCAAGCAACGTGTTATAACGATGTATTCTCGATTATTGTCTGTATTCGTTACTGTGAGAATGTTTACGGGGTCGTTGCCTAGCAATGATGACATTTCTCTATTGGAATCTGACCCTGTGTTTTTTGCAAGAACGTGTGGTCTGTAGGTGGCCAACAAAGTTTCGCAGGAACCTGCTGTCTCCGTCTTCACAGTAGACGTTTTCTGTCTTAAAGATGGAAGCAGCAGAATCCTCCCAGATATTATATCTACGTACCAGACTACACGACCAAACAACCCAAAACATCAGAATCCAAGTACTCGCTGCCCTGACAATTTCAAACCTCTTTGAGTCACATCCTTTCTCTAACGCTTGTTGCCTCACACCTGTTAAACAGCTCTGCCGTGGCTTCACTTCCTCAAGAGCTCTGTAACAACTTGGCGCAATGAAAGCGCAGTGAATAAAGCCACTTCTGTTTCAAGCCTACCTGATTAATGATTGTCAGCGAATTTAATTTTTGTCAGTATAGTCCCACAATAATTCCTCGTTACCTTATTAACACGTATAGTATATATCACATTAAAATTTCCTTCTGCAGGAAGTACAAGCATTTATTTAAAGAACAAGAAAATGAAAACTCGAGCAGGATGCAAGTGTACTTCAAACTGGGGTACAGATTTCTTTCCTTGGTTTCAAATTCGGACTACTGGTTTAGTTAGTTCTACACGCTTATGTGCAACAATTTATTTAAACTTAATAAAAGATAGTCACTTTAAGAATTTTCACATGTCTCGACCGAAATGGTCATCATCAGGTGTTGAGGAAACTGCTGTCTTTCTGCGATGATGTTTATTTACTGATATTTGGTTCCCCTGGTGCGCATGTGCGTGTGTAACTAGTACAAATTCTTCTATTAGTATTTATGTTTGCGAAGTTTTTTTGTATACTTTTACTTGTTTGAGTACATACATTCTTCCTTGATGTCATGTCGTGTTAAAAGTTCAACAGAATGCTACAGTATAATATTTTGACTACTACACTGAAGCGAATACATTTTATAAATATTTTTATTGTCATAATCATCAGTTATATCGAAACGAAGATATTTATAAGTTATAAATTACTGTAACTCTGTAATCATTGACTGTGACAAGACAGCCATCTCTACCACACGAATTATTACATGCGCTATAGAGCAAATTTGCAGGCTGTGTTGTGGAACTGCTGTTGCATGTCGAGTTCACAGTTTTTCTTGCCGAATTATTTCCATTGAGGCACGTGTTTCTCCCGCCTTCCTCTCAGTTTCAAGTGATATATTTCCTGTTGATACAGCTGAAGATTTTCCTGTAGGCGATCTGTTAGTGATAATGCGACTACGTCTCAAATTTCCAATCATCTCTCTTATTTATTTTTACCCAAGGTGAGGCGATTTAGTATGTTCAAACTGTTTACGCAACGGTACAGCAGTTCGTAACCTTTGTCTGCTTCTTCTGTTTCCAGAGTGCGAGGTACAGTTCTGTGTGTCCAAATTTATTTTCATGCTACCAAGTAGATTGTCTCAAAGGGTGATTTGTGGCCGGGAGGTGCCAGGTTAGATTCTTGATCGGCACATCGTATGTCCATACCGAGGTTACTGATCGTTTCACGGAGCCCTTCTGGACTAATTCCGCTACAGTGCTCGAAAATAGGTTATTACCACATTCCTCCATGTCCTTACCGATCCACTGTTCACAGTCATCGAATTATTGAAAGTTACAGCATCCGATATATTAATTAAAAAAACTAAACTCCGTTGCCTGTAGTCCGCAAGCTAACTATACCGACCGAGTGACCGCCTCTTGTCAGCGAAGTTAGTTCCAACTTTAACGGATAGATGGCGTCGTGTGGTCAGCGTAAAGAATCCCCACGGCCATTAATTTCGGTTTTCTAGACCGAAGCCGCTACAAGTAGCTCCTCAATTTTGCTCACGAGGCCGAGTGGACCTAATTCCAGACCGACTACTTCTCAGAAAATCTGGTAGCGCCGGGAATCGAACACCTGACCTCTGGACCATAGCCAGGAACTCTTCACCACTAGATCACAGAGGCGGTCAGTATATATTCACGCAAAGGTAAAAACATAGTTACGTCAGATATTCTAAAAAGTTAATTATGGTTCTTTATCTTACTTCTCACGTCTGTGCTATGTTCTCTATTCGTACTACTCGTTTGCTCCATCAAAACAACAGCAAGACCTATGTCTGTGCCTTCCTTCTTTATTCTGCCCGTCAAATTCTCTATCCCATAAAACTAGATTCACAATAAAGTTGCTCGTCTTGAAACAGAGACATGAAGACAACAGGAAATTGTCACGCTGAAATCGCGTTGCAGTAAGGCGCTGAGAATCAGCTGAATTCGAACTTCTGTGGTGCGATATCTGCAGGCTCTTCCATCAATCAGGGTACACCTGTGCGAGACAGCTGTCACTCATCAGGATGGCATGTATGCACTGGAACATTGCCATTAATGAAGTGAAATGCGTGTCGCCCTCCGACCAATGGATTGACAAATGAGAAATCCTATGGCTTCTTTATGAATGATTAACTGTCGCCACTGCAGTTCCCTGTATTCAACCTGGCGGTATCAAACCTTGCTCTGTCTGTTTTCTGTTGGCTATTTTTCGATGCTGTCAGTATCCAGACTTTCTTTTAGTAATATTCATGTTCATTCCAAAAACTGAAAATCAGACGGTGGAAAGCGACATGGTTGGATTTTTCACTGCTCTGAAGGCACGAAGTATGAGACACCTCTTAACACCAGAAACAAATAAGAGATAAATTTATGCCTGCACGAGCATTCCTATTTTCGAACTGTAAAGACACATATGAGACTGGCTGCGCAGATGAATACACTCCGATATGGACAAAATGCTTATAATGAATTTCGCAACGGCAGAATACAGTTCGAGTTTCTCCCTCGCACCTATAACGGCAGAATACAGTTCGAGTTTCTCCCTCGCACCTATAACGGCAGAATACAGTTCGAGTTTCTCCCTCGCACCTATAACGGCAGAATACAGTTCGAGTTTCTCCCTCGCACCTATAACGGCAGAATACAGTTCGAATTTCTCCCTCGCACCTATAACGGGAGAATACAGTTCGAGTTTCTCCCTCGCACCTATAACGGGAGAATACAGTTCGAGTTTCTTCCTCGCACCTATAACGGCAGAATACAGTTCGAATTTCTCCCTCGCACCTATAACGGGAGAATACAGTTCGAGTTTCTCCCTCGCACCTATAACGGGAGAATACAGTTCGAGTTTCTTCCTCGCACCTATAACGGCAGAATACAGTTCGAATTTCTCCCTCGCACCTATAACGGGAGAATACAGTTCGAGTTTCTCCCTCGCACCTATAACGGGAGAATACAGTTCGAGTTTCTTCCTCGCACCTATAACGGCAGAATACAGTTCGAATTTCTCCCTCGCACCTATAACGGGAGAATACAGTTCGAGTTTCTCCCTCGCACCTATAACGGGAGAATACAGTTCGAGTTTCTTCCTCGCACCTATAACGGCAGAATACAGTT